TTTGGCTCTCTCTCTGATGGGTTTGTTTTGTTTTTTCAGCCTAATGATAGCTTGCTTCCCTGATAGTGACAGCTCTTTGGATCTCATCTTGAGAGTTGAAAGCAACAGATTCCAAATGCAAATAGCACACTTGAAATTAACTCTGGACCTTTTATCTGCTCATTGTAATTGGGATAAGGAGGGAATAACAAACACCTGGCCATGGAACAGCTGAGAAGCCAATTGTTCCATTACTTTTGGTCCCTTAACAAGTGGGAGAAACATATGCAAACTGTTGTAATTCCTACACCGTTCACCTGATTTGGATGTAAATACCCTCAAATTAAAGCTGACAGTCTGCAGTTAAAGCACATCTTGTTCGTTTCATTTAAAATCCATTGTGGTGGTATATAGAGCCAAAAACGTTAGAATTGTGTCGATATCCCAATATTTATGGACCTGAATGTATATCAGGTCAGTGATGTAGTTTGGGGCAGTGTTATAGACAGCTTTGTACGTCAATGTTAGTAATTTGAATTTTATGCGTTGGGCAAATAAAGACAAATAACAAAAAATAAAATTGAAAACAAAAGAAAAATAAATATAAAAATAAAAATGAAAAAGAACAGATCCGAGCTCCACGGTTGTAAATTCTTTGTTGAGTCAACTGGGCTTGAGCCATATGTTCCTTCACAATAGGCATTACTTGTGTAATTCTGTCTTAAATTTGGGCCACATGTTCAATTACACTTCTATGAGGGGAACTCTCACTCTCCCATGTTTCCCTCGCAATGTCCCCAGTCCCCAGAGATGCCCCAGTGGGTGTCTCCCATACAACATCTCAAAGGGAGAGAACCCTGTGGACGATTGGGGAACCTCAAGGATTGCACACATTAAATACGGTAGAAGACAATCCCAATTTTTTCCCGTCTTTATCAACCAGATTCTTCAGCATTTGTTTTAACGTTTTGTTAAACCTTTCTACTAACCCATCTGTCTGGGGGTGGTACACTGATGTACGGAGTTGTGTCACCTTCAGAAGTTTACAAAGTTCTTTAGTTACCCTAGATATAAACGGGGTGCCCTGATCAGTTATTACCTCCTTGGGAAGGCCTACACGGCTGAAGACCTGAAATAACTATTTGGCAATGGTTTGGGCAGAGGTGTTTTGGAGAGGAATTGCCTCTGGGTAACGGGTGGCATAGTCCATTATCACCAAGATGTGTTGGTGCCCCCTAGCAGACTTTAGCAAGGGGCCAACCAAATCCATGGCGATCCTTTCAAAAGGGACCCCAATGATGGGCAGAGGAACCAAAGGACTGCAAAAATGTGGCATTGGAGCTGAAATCTGACACACTGGACAGGAAGAGCAGTACATTTCCACTTCCTTATTGACCCCAGGCCAATAGAACCTCTGTACGATTCTGTCTCGGGTCTTTTCAGCTCCTAAATGTCCCCCTAGAATGTGCCCATGGGCCAGCTCTAAGACCAATTTGAGGTAAGATTTAGGTACCACAAGTTGCTCTATGGTTTACTCCGCCCTCTGTGACACCCGGTATAATAGGTCTCCTTCTATGATAAAGTATGGGAGGGCAATCCTCTAGTCGGGATTCCCTAATTCCCCCTCTATTTTTACTACATTCTCTTGGGCCCTTAGTAATGTGGGGTCCTTCAGTTGTTCAGTGGCAACATTTTCCCTGTGTACTTCTAAGTCAAACACTAGGGGTGGCTGTTCCACTTCTGAGGTTGTAGGCTCCTTCCTAGGCCCTATTTCTCCTGCTAATACTGACAAAGGAAATTCAGGTGAATCCTCACCCACAGAGGATTCCCTATGAGAACCTTCAGGCTCGAAGGACAGGTCAATGGGAAATCTGGGCCATTCCAGAGCTCCCAGAATTTTGGGAAATCCCTTCCCACAATGGCGTCATGCGGTAGTTGGGGAACCAGACCCACCTGATGGCACAGGTTACCCAGGGAGGTCTCAAAGGATACTGTTGCCACAGGATACTCTCGAGTGTCCCCATGAATGCAAATGACTGCCTGTTTTCTAGGGTGCAAGGTTTTCCCCCTTACCAGTTCAGTTTTGACTAAATTAACCAAGCTTCCTGAATCCAACAACACCACAACATTTATACCATCAATATACATTTTTCATAAAGGCTTCTCATTTACCTTTACAGCAGTGCAAGTAATAGTTGCAAATAGGAACTGCCATCTCTCTGTAAGAAAGTCACAGTGCATTGGTTCATCTGTACTTGGGCAATCTGCTGCTACATGTCCCCCTTCCCGGCAGTGGTAACAGATTATCCTTCTGCTCACCTCTGCCGGGTTTGGCCTACCAGGCCGCTTGCGCCAGATATTGGAAACAGTCCCAAAAGTACCTTTCATTCCCCCTTTACCATTCTCTCCACCCCCATCTCTTGGTGCAATCTTACCCATAGCCGGGGATGGTCTGGTCTTGGGGGGGAAAGTCTGTGAGTCCTTGAGGGAAGATGCTAGATTTTCAGTTGCTAGATACCTCTCCACAAGGTCCACAAGCTTGTCTGCTGTATCCGGATCTCCATGTCACACCCATTTCTGCAAGGTAGTAGGAAGAGACCTGAGAAACTTGTCCCTAACCACCCTTTCCACAATCTTTGGTCCAGACAGTGTATCTGGCTGCAACCATTTTCTAGTCAAATGAATAAGGTCATACATTTGGGATCGGGGTGGTTCCCAGTCGATAACTGCAGTTGTGTACCCGATGAGCCTGGACAGCCAGAGTTACGCCTGCCATTTTTAAACGGTCATAGTTCTTGGCTTCCTCAGGCTCAAGGTCAAAATAAGCCTTTTGGGACTTGCCAGATAGCAGGGGGGCCACTAGTCCAGCCCACTGCTCTTTAGGCTAACTTTCTTTTTCAGCTGTCCTCTCAAATGTGGTCAAAAACATCTTAGGGTCCTCATCTGCAGTCATCTTTGGCAGCAGGTGACTTACACGGAAAGATGGTATGGTTGTTGAATCACTCCCAGCCTCAGTCTGCTGCCTCTGCTGAAGCTGTTTCATGATGGCCGCAATTTGCTGTTGGTGTATCTGTTCCTGCTGTTCCAACGATTCCCTATGGTGGGCCTCCACCTGTTCCAGGGCTTGCTGCTGGACTGCAAGGCTCTGAAGCAAACTTGCATTTGTTTGCTGCTGATTTGCATTCGCTTGATGCTGATTTTCATTTGCCACAGCAAGCTGTCTCAGTATTTCTTCCATGCTGGCCTTACTTCACCTGCCCGCATCCTCCACCATATGTGAGGGATTAGCCCAGTAGTGGGTTGTGCTTAACCCCCTGGATGGATCAGAACACCGTGAAAGTGGCTCAGCACGACAGCAGGGACTTGGTGAAAAGTTGTGCTTTATTTACAAAGTCTGGTGAACACACGGTGCATATGGTCAAAACAGCAAAAAAAAATACAAACAGAAAATAAGACCTTGCCACACTGGGCGTCTAACTGCAAACACAGGTTTCCTATCTAGCTGTCTGAATACAGCCTACCGCTGCTCAGACACGGGATGTTCACACAGTCTAAGATCACACAGATTATCTCTCACCACAGGATAGTTTGGTTGCTCCCCAGTCTGTCCTGAAAATCAAACTGGTTCCAGGTTGGAGCATTCTCCCTATGCAGCCTGGGAGTTTTATAGAGCCCAGAGCCCTTAACTCACTACACCTGAGCTAATTACATCATAAGTGAACCACACAGGCTCACTACACAGCACAACAGGAGAAACAGTCTGTGTAGAGCACGAACCTGGGACAAATATATCTCCCATCCTGAACACATCCCCTAGTTCTTCCTGACCTCCTGTCACAATATATATGTATATATATATATATATATATATATATATATATATATATATAATTATATATGTACATTTTACATATACAGTACAGAAGGAAAATGTAACTAGAAACTGTACTTTTTCATCTGAATAATCTTGTCCACTGCTTTTTATCGTAAAATACATAAAGAAAAGAATCAGCTTTAAATATTTGTATTTGCTGATGTTTTGTGATTACACAATTGTCTTTATTTTGTCTTTTTGTTGATTTTCAACAGGGATTAATTTCAATAGACAATTACAAATAAACAGCCCCCCGAAAAGATATAAAAAAGAAACATCTGACAGCTATCGCCAAACATGCATGTTTGTGATTGCAAAACATCTAATGTAGTTTGGTTCATTATTTGGAAGCATTTGTTGTGAATGACAGCATGCTTAATTGCCCAACTCAAGTAAAACTTTTTTGTAGTTCTAAATAGCATGAGGAAGAATTATCTTCATTAGGGGTTTCACCTCAATTTTTTTACCTGTGACAGAAAGAAACAAAGGGAAAGGGAGTCACTGATACTGACGGCAATAAAAACCACACATAAGTTCCAACCATTCTCATCTCTACTAATAAAATGTGGTTTTAGTTTTTTGTGGTGCTGTATCTGGTCTTAGTGGAGAGATTTTCTATCATTTCCTGAACTTATAGTGCCCAATCTCAGGATACAGGAGTAAAAGGGACATCTGCCTAATAAGACACCAATAAAAAGTCCATCCAAATCTTTAAGAAAGTTGGCTTGAATTAGGCTGTTAATGTTTATACTTGTCAAAAGTGTGTAAATGCCTGTATAGCTTTAACATTTAAGTCCAATTTAACCCTCTTTATTTATTACTGAAATGCAGTTAGGCAGCATATATAATACTAAACACACTGCTTATTTTAATTAATTGGTTTCTAAATGTTACATCAAGGGTTAAAATAACCTGTGCTGGCAGCTTCTTGGAGAGTCAGACATGCTCCAGTGCACATTGTACCAATCAATAGTGAAATCGAGTGTTGTTGATTGGATCATTCTGTGCAAGTGGAGAGTAATAATTTAAACTTCAGCACAGGCCTTATAAGTATTTACCTAGTACATACTATGTAAGGGGGTTGGTTGTATGGCACAGCTGCTATTGAGAGAACACTTTGTATCCATTCACGGAATTCAAAGCATACAGGTGCAAGCAGGGGCGGACTGACAACTCATGGAGCTCCCGGCAATAGGGGATCATGGGGCCCCTGTGTCCTTGCCCAAACTCAAAAAAGCCTATGAAAAAGGTACCAGGGGCATCTCATGGGGCCCCCTACTGACCCCAAGCCCTCGGGCAGTGCCCGCATTTCCAAATGGTCAGTCCGCCCCTGGGTGCAAGCTGGACCAATGTAATTATATAAAAATATACCATGCCTAGAATTCTACTTTAAAGCTCTCCGTGTGCATATTGCTCCAGCATTCTCATAAAAGTGCATTAATAGTTCCAATGCAGTAATGATCCAAAATACACTGCAATGGACATTCCTATTACCATAAAGAGATGCTGGTGCTTTTGGAAACATTCATGTTTGTGCACATGGACACTTATATTATAAATACTGTCATTGAAGAAGATCAAAAAGCTCCAAAATGATGCTTGTACTTATGAGCCCCTAAAACTATAGCCACAAGTATTATACAGTACAGGCTGCTTAAACATGCATACATATATCTTATAATTCAGAAAATATAAGGTGCTTTTGAAGAACTGGCGTAGGAAAACATAGTACAGTATTCTTTATTATACGGTATTTGTGCAAATAGTATAGGAAAGGACTCATTTGTACACACAGCTTCTTAATCTAGCAATTCTAAGAAAAAGAAAGCCCAACTTAGTCGATTTAGTAGGGACTACACTGTTTAAAGCAGAAACCCCAAAATTGTGTCTCTCATTCTTAAAATTGTTTTGGACATTTTGTTGAGATTATATTTTTCATGCAATGAACATCTTAAATAACAATGGTTTAACCTCACACTGAGCTTGTAAAACTGGTTGTCACAAGGACTTCCTTTCCCTGCCTCTTTTAAAGCCCTGATGCTCAATCATGGCTCTTGTACATTTTGTGTGGTGCTTGGACCTCAGAAATACATAATGGGAGTGTGAGCGTTGAAGAGCTAATAGTAATGAGTTTTTCTAGACTCGTACCATGTTCCCGGTCTCTCATTGTCTTCTTGAGGAGGTTTTTTAGTCTCCAATCACACCCCATGTCCACTGTCTCTGGCTATCAATTCCTCTAGAATGTCTGCTGTCTGACAGTCTCCCTAGCTTTTCATATACAGAACATTATATGGATCCTTTGGTGATGTCAGGGGCTGCAGTTGAGGCCTCCTATACATTGTAAGTTGACAACCACTGCTCTGACTGCTGTAACTCCCGCCTCATTTGCCTACCTCATCGCAAGCTACCCCCTCTTCAGTCTATCATGAATGCTGCTGCCAGACTCATCCACCTTACTAACCATTCTGTATCTGCCACCCCTCTCTGCCAATAACTCCACTGGCTTCCCGTTGCCCAACAGATACAATTCAAAACACTAACAATAACGTATAAAGCCATTTATAAATCAATAGCCCCAAATTACATCACCGATCTTGTCTCTAAATATCACCAGAACCGTACTCTCCGCTCCTCACAATACCTCCTACTCTCTAGCTCCCTTGTCTCCATCTCCCATGCTCGTCTCCAGGACTTCTCCAGAGCTTCCCCCATCCTCTGGAACTCTCTACCCCAATTTATCAGACTATCGCCTACTCTGCTCACTTTTAGGCGATCCCTGAAAACCTATCTCTTCAGGGAAGCCTTTCCAGCCCTCAGCTAATACTGTAATCTTCTACTCTTCCAACCAGTCTATCCCCCACAGTTACTACCTTTTGTAACACTAGCCCCTCCCTCCTAGATTGTAAGCTCCAAGGAGCAGGGCCCTCAAATCCCTCTCTGAACTGTATTGTTACTGTATTGTCTCCCGTTATATTGTAAAGCACTGAGCAAACTGTTGGCACTATATAAATCCTGTATATAATAATAATAATAATAATAAGAGCATTAATTCCTGTGTTCTTGGAGGCTCCTGATTATTTCATATAAGAGGCACCCTACACTAGGTGACATATTAAGCATATATGAAAAAGATCAAAGTATATCAAGTTTAATCTTTACTAATTTAGCAACTAGAAATTGTTGAGACAATAAATACTTTTATTAAGACTGCAACGTGCAGTGATCAGCACTGTTGTAATACACAACACAATATATAGAGTAGTGGGGTCAGCACAATGTAATGTAAAACATTACCTATATAGTGCAGTGGTCACAGTGCCCTTTATACTCTGGTCGGGAAGCGGGGAGTAAAAATGCTAAGAGTCTGTTTCACCTGGCATTCATGGTCAGTGGGAGTAAAAAATGTCTGCCATCTGTAGTTAATGGAAGAAACAAAAATCCAAATGTGGTCAGAGGGTGCAAAAAATATCTGCTTTCTGTGGTCAGTTGGGAGAAAAAAATGCCTTTTTTCTGTGGTCAGTGGGAGGAAAGAAAATGGCTGCCATCTGTAGTCAGTTGGATGAAAAAAAAATGCCCTTCATCTGTGGTCAGTGGTAAGAATAAATGCTTGCCATCCATGGTCAGCAAGAGGAAAAAAGTGTCCATCATCTGTGGTCAGTCAGAGGAAAATGTCTGCCTTCCTTGGTCAGTGAAAGGAAAAAAATGCTTGCCATCTGGGGTCAGTAGGATGAAATAAATGCCCAACATCTGTGGTCAGTGGGAAGATAAAAATGCCTGCCATTCATGGTCAGTGAGAGGAAAAAATGCTTGCCATCTGGAGTCAGTGGGATGAAAAAGTGTCCACCATCTTGTCAGTGGGAAGAAAAACTTCCCACCATCTATGGTCAATGAGTCGTAAAAAAACATGCTTAGCATCTGTGGTCAGTGGGAAGAAAAAATGCTCAGCTTTTTTGTCAGTGGGGGATAAAAAAAATGGCTGCTTGATGTGGTCAGTGAGAGTATAAAGTGGGTGGAAAAAAAAATGCTATTTGCAGTCATTGGTGAGTGAGATGAAAAAATGGAAGTAAAGATTGTCCCCAGCACTGAGGATCAGTACTGCTATTGGTGGTCAGAGAAAATGAAAAATGTCTCATTATCAGTGGGAAAAGCACTGTTGAGGAACAGCATTGGTGATCAGCAGGGTCAAGGAGGAAACTGATGCACAGTGGTGAGATTAGTGCTCAACCGGGTGACCAATGGGGGGGACTTACTCTGGCATATAATGATTTTTTATGCCGGAATCTGCTTGGTAGCTCCCTTTGTTGCTGATGCTATTATGGCTTGAAGGATTCTGCTGGGCACTGCTGGCTAAAGCTCACTCATCAGCATGGGAGACATAGGGAGTGTCAAAGAAAAGCTGATGTAGGGAGTGTCGTTCTGCTGCTGACTTTCTTTCCTGAGGCTGCCTGACATTGTTTGGCTCTTATTGCTACTGAATTGGAGCTCTGAAAAGTGGCAGAGACAGAAGCTGGCAGCAGGTGGTTTGTGGCCTCAGGACTCCATCAAGGGATGAGAGATATGTCCCCTGGGATCCTGGTGCAAGGGATAGCAATGCTGTATGCTGTGTTCCTGGGATACAGCCAGTGTAGGACAACTAAGTAAGAAGTTGAACTGTCTCAGCAAATCAGGGACAGTTGGACAGCTGGAATGTATATAATCTGTCCCACTGATCCTGTTTAGAATTGCCTTGCTGTGACAGAATTGATACATTTCCACCATTGAGTCAACCCATCATTTTTAATACACAATAAAAAGTTTTCCCAACAATATCTATTTTTTGCTTATTTCACAAAATGTTTTTTGGATTTTCAAGAAAACAAATGTTGTACAATACAAAATGTAAAAAAAAAAAAAAAAAAAGAAAAGGTATAGCCTCAAAAACACATAAACAAAACACAGAATTGTTAATGTACAAGGAAAGTCCAAAATACCAGGTCCAATACAAAACAAACAATGCACATCAACTGTGAGCTATTAGAAAATGGAAGTTGCTTATAACAGGCAAGCGTATCCTGAAGTGGGGACCTGTCTTGAAGCGATCTAGTGGCTGTGGAGTGCTAGGGGAAGAAGCGTTCGTCTGCAGGTTATGTTACATTTAAAGGTACATCCAGAGACAAAGTGAGAGGAATAGGAAGTAAAGAATGAGAGCAAGGAAAGTTGTGATAAAAAGGGTGTCAAAAAAGTTAGTGGGGAGAGAGGAAGAGAGGAAAGAGGAGGAATATCAGAGGAAAGGAAGGCAGGAAAGGGTTCTGCCAGCCCTGGAAAAATTTCAAGGCCTGAGTAAGGCTGTATAGATAAGGTTTATAGGAATAAAGGAGAATAACCCAAGTTCAGTTGACTGTTATAGTCCAACCAGGGAGTCCAGATTTTGAGGTACTTACTATGAGTGTTGTTTAATATGGCAGTGAATTGTTTAATGCACCATTATGCCCATCATTCTCTGTTTCACCTCAAGGTTAACAGTAGATTGTTTCTATGCCTTAGACAAAATCTGCTTGGCTGCAAGAAAAACAAATTCCGCTATTTTTCTTTCACACTTGGTCAGGTTGGTATTGGCCTATGAAGCATGGCTTCCCAGGGTTACAAATTATGTTTTTGTTTAGGACCATGCAAACATATTATAAACTCATATCTAGAACAGGCTGGCTTTGAGGCAGTGCCATCAAATGTGTTTGAATGTGCCTGGGTTGTTACAGCCTCGAAAGCAAGCCAATGAAGTCCATGGTACTTATTTTTTTGCTTAGAACTGCCGATTTTTCAGCTCTGATTGGCTGTATTATATGCAAGCGCTCTGCGGTCTACATATAGCCCCATAGTGCTATGGTCCAATGTCCACGGTTTTAAATGACTAGTAACTACAGCTTGTTTCTCTTGTTCAGTCTGGATGAATGACTCAGGGGACCAGGCTTAAAGAAAGAGCTTTTCAGACTGCAGAAGATGATGAATGATAGAATATATAGCTAAAACCAAAACGTACAGTTGAGTTTGTTTTGAATTTACACAAATGTATAAACCTTTCTTTTAAAGCAGCAACATACTTGACAGACTTTTTTGATCATTTAGCTTTCTATCCATTTGTAGGTTTGGATTTTCTTCATTCCATGCGCTACACTGATTACTATGCAGCTTTTAGAATCTTTTTCATATTTTCAGTTGGATAAATCAAACACATTTTTCTAAAGATAAACTAAGTGAAAGAATTAAACATACAAACAAATCATTTGATGTTTCCATAGCAACCAAACCATGTTTCCGAAACTTGGTTTTATGCAAGTATTATACTAGCCCTTATCTGGTGAATTTCTAGCAGACTGATGT